CACACACCAACTGAGAGAAGGAGAACGAGTCACTGTTTAGTTGCAGTGACTGATCTGACATCGTAACCACATGTGTCCAATAAAACACCACTGAGACAGATGGGAAAAACCCTCACATTCTCTTGTTTTCTCTTTCTTAAATATCTTCTTTCCTTCCCTGTCAATCTCTCTTGATCTTGAATGCATTAGATTTTTTTTTTTTTTTTTTGCTGGACCCCTTCACCCTTCTCTTAACCATCTTTATTATTTTATAAAAAACAATCTCCCGACATATGTTATTGCTGAGTAAAAGAAGATTGTTGCATGTCAGCTTTAAAATCAATTCAATTCAATTAAATAAATACTATTTTTTGGGTTTTTTTTTTTTTAATTCACCTTCTTCTACTTCCAGGCACTGGTTAATAACAGGGAACAGACCGGACAGGTCAACAGACACACACTTTGTGATTAAAAGCACACACACATACAGCACACACACACATGCACACACTGGAACGTTATAAGTATTTTTTCCAGTCGGGCCAAAAGGGAATCCAGGTTTGTGTTATCTTTTCCAGTCAGGGTAAGAAGTGGAGGGTGAGGTGTTCCCTCAAAAATATACATCTCTTCCTCTCTGTATTAACACACACACACACACACACATGCCCACACAGAAAAGCCAATTATCCCGAACTTCCACAGGAGTTTCCTCTTGGCTGTGAACATTCCTGTCAGTTACCGCGGCAACAACGACACACAAGACGCAGAGAGAGACAGAATGACCTGGTGTAGGAAAACAATCCAGTCCAAAAATAATTCCATGCTTGGTTTATACACCAGTTGTAAAAGTTTTGCTCTGTTACCAAAAATATCTAATATTCTTGCGGTTGACATGATAGCATAAATTAACAATTACCCATAATACTGTTCAGGTTTATTATTAAATGGTTGCCTTATTTCTCAGCACACTCATTATTACAGTGGAAATAACACAACATTACTGGATGGAAAGGCAGAAGAGAAAGAAAGAAAAAACAACAGTCTTTACAGATGGACAAAGTTAAGAAAATAGGAAAGGAGAAATCAACGTGGTGGGAAAAAAAGAAAAGGCAGGAGAAGAGAAAATTACAGCGGCTGAAGGCTGAGGAGGAATAAAAGACTGAAAACTGACAAAAAGAAAACAGGCAGTCACAGGAAAAAGAAGCAGAGAACAGTTTTTCCTTGTTCCAAATGTTTTCTTTTGAGCGGTTAGTTCACGAGAAAACGGTCCCAGCGAGCCAAACCCGTTTTACATATCTGAACCTAGAGAGAACAGAACCAGAGCTGAACACACAGGATCACACATACGGCTCGTCAACCTCTGTCTCTGTCTCTTTTCCTTTTCTTTGACTTTGTCCTATTCCAGGAGACGTCAGGGTCAACATCCACAACTGCATCATAAAAGCACAACTCAACTCACAAACTGCAATAGCTCAGCAATTTAGTGTATTTTTGCAGTTGAAAAAGGCCTACTGACCGACTGTTGTTTTACTGTTGGAGTGTCTTGGGTTCAGTTTCTGTAACGTGTTTGAGTTTTTATCGAAGCTAGGATGGTGCTATAATCTGTACAGAACATTTAGCATTTCCTCGATGTTGATAAGAAATTGACTACTATCAAATCACCAAGTAACATATAGGTCTCAACTGTTATATACACATGGATGTCATCTGTATAAAGAGAGACTGAATATTCATATCAGGATTTGTTTCTCTCTGTTATCACAATTTGCAGAGACAAGAGTGTAATTCTTAAACTTAAAAAACAAAGTCGTAGCATTGGAAGAATGTTCACTTGGTCCCAAGACCGAGTGGTTCACATCATTTTGACACTTTTCTATTGAGTATAACAACTTTTAAACCTTCCTAAAAACTTCCACGCGTTGTATCTTTCAAATATCTTTTAAACCTTGCCTTCTTCATAGAATATGTCACAACTTCCACGCGTTGTATCTTTCAAATACGTAAACATAAACAAACACTGATGGAAGGTTATGTTCATCGTCTCAGAATTCACTGCCATAATTAACAGATTGAGCTGTTTAATTTTCATATAAGTGAGAAGTGTTTTTGATTAGCGCTCATTGTGCCGGTTTTACAAGAGCCAAATCCTTAACAAATTAATTCATCACTCGTAAACGTGGAGATCTGCAACATCAAATTAAACCACAAACAAACAATATTAAATTCAGCGTTTGTTTCCATCCCAGCGATAATTACGTATAATTTATATGGTGACTCGAGTGCCTGATTCTGAGGTTTAATGTGTGCAATCATATAAAGATAAAACGTCTCTTTTTTTTTAACTCAAAGACTTGCATACCAAGGAGTAACCCTAAGAAATGTTTATTTTCTTAATTATTTTATGAAAACATAACGTCAACATTTACAACAAATCCACAGTTTTCAAATACAAACAAAAACAAAACAATTTTCCACACTTAGAAAATATAAAAGAAATGATCCCTGTCAGACAGATTTAGAAGAATCACAGTGACATGTCTGGGAAAATCCTGCTTTTAATTTGTCATTATATGACGGCTGAGAAAATGGCCTTTGTTTTTAATCCCCAAAAACTTGGGTGTTTTGTTTCGCCCCCCCTTCAGATAATTATTACCAAAAGCCCAGAGTTATTGCACGGCTCCAAAGACGCCTGTGTCTGATGTTCCTTCTGTGTCACAGTCAATTAAAATGGAAACAAGACTGTTTGGTGTCAACAGAAAAGAATGTCAAATGCAGATGTAGAAATGTTCTTTAAGACTTCAAGCTTGAACTGTTACAACCCTGTGGCTCTGCCCTCCAGAAGAAATGTTTGGAAAAATCTAATGTTTCTCTGTTTTTAACCAACGGCAGCCACAAAGAACGGTGTGGTAAATATAACTGCTCTCACTGTACAGGATACCCGATTTTGTTCTACTGTTTCAAATACAAAAAAAAAAAAAAAAAAAATAGTAATGACTGTTTGTCTAATGCAAAACAGATGGAGGGCAATTCTTTGAAGAGAGACATTTTTGCTTTGACTGTATACAAAGCAGTTAAATTTACAGGGTCAATGCTACGTTAACACGGAGGAGGAGAGACGTCTACAGTGGCTACAACTGTTGGCTTTTGTCATTTGCTCAGCACAAACACAAAGTCTGATTTAAATTTCTTACAAGTAAAGTAAATAATACAGACAGAAATGGTTGTTTATTGCGCAGTGTAAGAAGAAAATCCAAACATTTATCCTAAAAGTTTGCACCACATTTGTGTAATTAATATCAACCGAGACAACTCAGGTGGCTGTGAATGAACAGCACCGAAACATTTGTAAAAAATAACTGTCTTTGGTAAAAGGCTTTTCATCACTTTTCCTTTCTTTTCTTTTCAGAATAAAGAGCATTTCTATTCAGAATAAAGAGCATGAGAAATAGTGACAAAAGACTGACTAATTTAATTTAAACTAAATGATTATAAAACACAAGATCTTTTGATTTGTGTTTAGATATTTGTAGTAATTATGAATAGCCAAGAAAAGAATAAAAACTACAGGATGTGACTCATTTTGTAATCGTTAGCCTAGCGTAGCATAGCGCTAAGCTAAAGCGCTATGCTACGCTAGAAAAACAAACAAACAAACTACAGGATGTGACTCATTTTGTAATCGTTAGCCTAGCGTAGCATAGCGCTAGGCTAGTTAGGCTACCTTGTATGTTCCCAGCTTACAAATATGGTGAAGATAATGATCCAGTCTTGTTTTTTTTTTCTGTTTTTGTTTTAGTTTTCTTAAGAACATTGCTACGTTTAAGATAAATAATAATGTGAAAAACAACAACAACAAAGAGCCTTCTATACAAAACATATTTAAACTGTTCGACTGTTTTCTCTTTTTAATAACTAGTGTTCCTTCTGTACAGCTAAGACAATAAAACCAGTGCAAAGAGAACATTTCATAGTCTCAGGTTCTCCTACAATATAGTGTCCAGGAGAAAGAACATCTACAGTTTGTCTATACAGTAAACAGCTACAAAAACAATAATAAAAAAAAAATCCAAAAACTTTACCTTCCTTTTTGAGGTTTTTCTCCTTAAACCATTGTCCTTTGCTTTCACTTTTTTAAAGCAGAACCCTGCAGTGGACTGTGGGTTTGACCTAATGATTTTCTCATTTTTGAAACAAGACAGTGGTGCCTTGCTGGGAGAACATGATCTGCAGTCATTGGTTGAAATGTAATTACAGATTTTAGCTTTTAAAAAACTACAACTGATATGTTTATTTAAACAGGGAGGCCACACTGGCTAAAAAAGAATAAAAATCAAAATAATACTGTATGTTCGCCAAGAAGCCAGGCAACTTAAAACGTACATATTTTGGCACAAAGTTTGACATGAGGCCCCATAATAGACTGAGATAGAGACGAAACAACATTTATCACGAACAGGAATAACAAACCCGACTTGTAAAGCATCCTGATAGTTTGTGGGTTTGAACTGGATCTAAGGCCAAGGTTTTCCCGACAACAACATATGTGGAGGCTGGTTTGAGTCTCTTCCATCATATCAATTCCCTTTCTGTTCCTCTCCCGGGTTTGTCCTTGTGCTTCTCATTATTAGAGATGTATTCATCTGAGTTTTTTGAAGTTCTGCGGAGAATGTGGGCTCCTGAGATGAGACGAGATAATCTTGAGATTTGGATTCGTCACAGTTTTGGCAAAGGTTTTGACCATAGTGCACTTAGTGTAGTAAAAGTTCATCAGATCATTGGTGTAACTCTCCTTCAGCTGTTCATGGTACGTTTTTAAATAATTTACACTACGCAGAAGCCGAAGATTGAGGAGTGTTCACGCCAATAGCATCATGCTAACACACGTGTCTTACAACCTAATCATTTTGGGTGTACAAAAAAAATTGCTGACTAGCTTCCTTTCTTTTAATGGTCCCTAGAGTTAATGGCGACATCAAAAAAAAACCCCCAAAACTATCTATTAATGACTATAATACCAAAACAAAAACAAAACTATCTATTAATGACTATAATACAGGGAAAGTGACCAGTTGCTCAGATAAAAAGAAACAAAACACTGGCTACCTAAACTCTTCAATGCTAAGGTGCCAAGACCTGAAATATTTAGATGATATATTTAGTTAGCAACCCACTGGTGCAAGATTTATTTTTACATTTTTACTTTTTCCAGTTAGTACAAATTAGCTTAAAGCAGTGCGAGCACCGGTATCCCTTCATTATAATAACATTTTAATAATTTGATAGGAAAAAATTTAACACTAGAATAGGCTTAAACAATGTCTAAGACTAACTTCCTGCCTATGAGATACAACTGTGGTTCAGTTGAACTGAACCTAACTGTTTTCACAGAGGTACTTAAAAATATGAATTCATGTTTATCCAGTGATACAGGCACTGTAATAGACAGCACTGCTGGCATCAGAAAGAGCAGATATGAGAGGGCTGCTTACTTCATCACAGCCGGTTACACCACTCAAATCCCTATTAATGATACTGCTAACACTGCTATTAATGCTGCGACTGCGACTGATTTTAGACCCAAGCCCACAACTGACACCGAGTCCGAAGGACTCCTCCCGATTCCTTCCAATATTCACATACTGGTCAAATTCATGCCTGTCCACCTCAGACCAAAACTCAGCAGAAGAAGACACCAAATGACCGCCAGAGTCAGAATTGGCAGGGTCCAAGTGCACAGGGGGAAGAAAAGACGATGAGGGGTTGGACGGCAGGCAAGAAGTGGTAGACGTTTCTGGGGGAGGAGAAAGCTGACCTAGGGGAGTGAAACTGGTGGCACTTGGTGTGCCATTCCCATACATCTGATTGAAGTAGCTACCAGGAGTAGTGCTGAGGGGCGACTGGTGACATTTTATCGGCTCAGAAAGGCTGATTGCAGACTGAGGGTAAGAGGCGGGGGAGGGGGAGGTCGAATGAGGAGGGCCCTTAACAGGACTTCTTAAGGTGATGTGGTGACCAGAGACATGGGTAGGATTTATCCTGGAGTTGACTGAATTCACTAGACTGGAAGTGGCAGAGCTCATGCTCAAGGTCATGTTTGTCTCAGCAGAACTCATTCTAGAGTCAAGTCTGGAACTTCTACCTGGACTCAGGCTGGAATTCATGTTTGTGCCTAAACTGGAGGCAGCGCTCAAGCCTGAACTATGACCATGTGGTGCTCCATGTATGGAGTTGGAATGACCGTGGTTGTAGTGTGAGCCGTAATGTTGGTTATGAGGGTGGATGTGGTGATGATGGTGATACCCGCTCCAGCCTCCCATCCCTCCCTCCTCTTGTATGTGTTGGGGGAAAAACACAGATTCCCCAGCTCCATCGTCCAGTACGTCCAGAGGAGACATCTCTGGAGTGGGCAGGCCGAAACTCTCCAGCTCTGGGTGTCCTGGGCCCTGGAGGTCTCTAAAGTGTCCCAGAGAGGGCAACAGATGGTGAGGTTGGTGGTGATGTTGAGAGTGACCGCCCGAGTGTCCATAGAGTGGCCCACCAGAGACACCATCAGGACCTAAAGGACTGATGCCTGGTCCTAACGCAAAGCCTGGTGTGCCCCCCTGAGTCAGGCTGTGAAGCAGAATCCCCGGTTCGACCCTTTTGAGTTTTTTAGTGGTCTTCTTTCGGCGCGGCCTGTATTTATAGTTTGGGTGGTCCTGGAGGTGCTGCACACGGAGGCGCTCCGCTTCCTCTACAAACGGACGTTTGTCTGTGGCACTCAGGGACTTCCAGGATTGACCTGCGTCCAAATATACATAAAAATAGGCGTTAATCCATTGTTCTAATGGAGGGCCAGTCAAACCAATAGTTGCATAAATGTTTAATATATCTATATATAATTTTATTGTCATCTAAATCAATTTGCCTAGAGTTTATCAAGCATGTTTAACAGTGAATTATTTAAAATTGAAAGAAACCTTTCATGTTTTGTTTCACTAAAACTTTCTCCTTAAATGTTAGCCGACAACCACAGGTTGACACCCACCCAACTAATTGCTGATTTGACCAACTGTCAGCTCAAGTACATGATAGTCAAAGCAAATCTAATCCTCTGTGGTTTTGTTATGGCAGCTATACGGTGATCTGAGCAAAAACAAGGAAAAACCCAGTGATTTATGACGAGCTCGGACTCTTTAATGTCTAAAACAGAAACCATACAGTGAGTTACCACGTCTCTACATGTCTGTCGGTTCAAACAACTTAAATAAACACAGTTGATAATTCAGCCCATAAGACATACCACAACTGGACAATTTTGTGGTCGTATTTAACGTCACAGCCTTTGCATTAAAACGCTTATATCCTCAGTCCGTCGTCTGGTTACAGTGGCGACGAGAGCGACGAGATTCGAGAACCGCGTTTCCTTCCACAAATTTCATGGATTTCTCTTAAAAGGTGCTGAAAATCCCAAGTTACCGATGAGCTCCAGAAACGCACTGGGTTTTTCCTCAGTGAAAATTTGACATATTGTGTAACAGGATGAGAATCAGAAAAACAGATGTTTCCCTCTTTTGTTACATGGAGAGAAAAAGACCTAATGTATGTAAACTCACTTTTAACCACAACATGAAATGTGTTTAACATATGTTAAATCGTAGAAATGTGTCAATACTTTATAATCATATCTACCTTGATTACAAATTTAAATTTTAAAATAATAAATCTGTGGAAAATCTCACTGTGAACTATTTCACTACGACCCCTGGTTGTTAACGACCCTCATGGGTCACTTTAGCAAAATCTTTTGTGTAAATACTGCTCAGGTTTAGGAGTGATTAAAAAAGATAGCTACTGAGGAGAGCAGCGTTTTAGGCGGGCCGGGCCGGTCAGTCAGAGCGTGGAGGTCGCGGCGTAATGAGCACATCCATATACGGTGGAGAAATGATTTACGCTCCGCAGAGAAAACTCCACGTCTTTTCTTTCCAACTAAACTTTCAGACCTGACGTGCCGTTAAAATGATGGAGTGACGTTCAAGTGCAGGATTTTCCGAAGCCACATAGTCTGTAGCTGCAATCATTATTAATAAAATAATATTAATTGTTTCAGGATTATTTAATGCTGATTAAATTGTTGTTTAGATGTTTATATTTATTTCTTGTTATTTCTTATTTTTTGAAAATAAATTGATGTTATAGAATATTCACAATTTCTGTTTCGTAATGAGAGACGTTAAGGTCTTTGATGATGAAATTACAATTTTATTAAGTTGTTGAAATGTTGACGCTGAATTAGAAATTGCTGTCTGTTTATGTGGGTGTTATTATGGAAACGTTTTTTTCAACTAAACAAATACTGATCGAAGCAGAGCTGCTTAGATTTTTATTTTAAAAGAAGAATTGTTTTCTCTTCAGCCATCGTAAAGTGTGATTTCGAATTACTTTAAGACCAAAAATGCCCCGTGAAGTCATATTTTTATTATTAAAACACCTGCAAAGATCAGTTTTTAATTTTTCCAATTAATCATTTATTTATTTTTACTTGCTAACTCCATGCATTTGTAGCTTTTAAAACTGTACAAGTAAAGGTTTTTGTCATAAAATGGTTTATAAAAAAATATTGAGTTACAAATTACTAATGTAATCAGGGTCATTTTCTTGTCTTACCGAGCATCTTGCTGAGGACAGCGTTGTGCAGGTCAGGGTTCTGCAGGGCCAGTCTCTTCCTCTCATCCTTGGCCCAGACCATGAAGGCGTTCATGGGTCTGCGGATCCTCTGCTCTCCTCCCACAGCCTTTCCATCTGCCGTGCTCACCGACACACCTGCTGCCTGGTTCAGGTCTGGGCTCTGTCCACCTGAAGCCGGCATTAGAGGAATTCTTGGCTCTGGTCTTCTCATGCTGCCGCCACCGTGGCCATCAGGAGAACTGCAGTCCTCTGAGAGGTTCTGTTCAAAACCCATCTCAGCATCGGAGGATGGACTTGGGGTTCGGGAAGTCCAGTGACCCCCTAGAGGAACCCGTGTCGGATGCAGAAGAGTCTCTCTAGACAACCTGGCCTCGGTTAAATTCATCCCAGGACTGGGCTCTGATTCAACTTTTAGTCCAAGTGAAATTCCACAAACGTCTGTTTCAGTTTGTTCAGTTGTAAAGTTCTGGAAAAAATTTGGACCTCAAAGTTTTTCATATGACAAAGACAAACAGCAAGACTGGACTCTGAAGGATATGGAGCAAAAATCCCAAAGCAAAGCATCGAGATCTGAGATGAGGAAGAAGGAGAGAATGAAAGAAAAAAACAAACAAGTGGTGGAGCAGGATATTCTCCCTGAGAATGATCCACAATGACTTGACTGCTTTTTCTGTATGTTTTTTTTTTCTAAAAAACAACAGCTCTTGTTTGGAGTGTGCGGTGCAGCGGTTTGTCCAGAGTTTGATTCCCGTCCGTCACTCAGACTGTCCGACTCACTGTCTCTCTGCCTGTCTGCCCACTCTGAAAGTTTTGAAACTTGTGGCCAGAGTTAACCGACCCACAGCGTGTATATATACCCCGCCCAGACCAAACAGATAAATATGCAGTTTGGGATTTAACCAATGAGACGCCAGGTCGGTGCAAACGGAAGGAATGATTATGTGGGAGACAGAGTGCATGGTGGGAGGTGGGACG